TAAGATAAAAATTATTACTTATTATGTATTACTTAAGTGGGATAATAACAGGGATCCTATATATCCTTTATTGTCTAGCTATAGAGAAAAATCATAACTAATGTAAGCTGTGAAATTTATTACTCTCAATTCACAATGCAGATATTTCAAAAATAATAAAATAAAATGTCAGTACTTGTCATTCATGATTTGTCATTGTCAATATAAAGGTTGTTTGTAAACATAATATATTGAAAATTTTAAACAAGTCAAGTTATGTATTTAGAATTCTGTAGAAATGGCGCTAAAATTCATATTTACTACAAAGACTAATACTAATTAGTTTTTCCATACATCAGTATTTAATCCATACAGTATTTAAAACAGATTAAAAATAAATAGCAGGTTAAAAAAAACTTATTTAAAAATATATCATGTGGTTTGTATGTAAATAGTGATGGGAATTTAAAAATGAGCTGGGAAATAAAACATATTATTTAGTTTCTTGATTACTTCATGCTTATTAATAGCACCATCAAGATTATTATATGAATATTATATAAAATAATAATTCCTACTTATGAACAACTGAAGTAATATTGTATTTAGTTTTTAGATACTGAGGTGATCAAGAGGAATCATTTTCTTCTACCAACCAGGAAAGAAATGGTTAAGATTTATAATGTAGGAATCAGACATTGTTAAATCAATGTGATTACATACCTAATGTTGAGATGTTTGACAAAGGTGTGAAATAGTAATGGTTGAAATAAGATGCAAAAAATATAGAAATCCTATTTATAATTAAAAAATGGATATTCATATATGTTCAATCTAGTATTTTATATTTAAGAACAATTTAACAATAAAATAACATTTTTGAATATAGGGCATTGCAGTATCTTTAAACAAAACTAACAAAAACTGAAATTAAACTGATTACTTACTTAAGTGAGGCTTTCCAATCCTAAGATAACAGTTTATTTCTACAAATAAAGGACCACTTGTGTGCTTTTCCACCTTAGCCACATAGGAATAGTCAGTCTTAAATCCTCTGGCTAAACTTTCAGATGCTTCATAAATTTCACCAAATCCGCCAATGCCGATGGTTTTACCTAACTTCCACTTTTTTCCACTAATATCGGTTACTACTTCCCCTTGCTTAAAATCAGCTGAATTGGATACTCCACTAGAACTTTTCTTTTTGGGTGGTTCATCTTTAGTAGATGAAGAATAGAAATCTTCCTCATATATCTTTCTAGGCATTATTTTATCCTTAAAACGAATTGAATAATTTAGATAATCTTAAATATTACTTTCTAAAACAAAAACTGAGTTAAATATTTATAAATAAATGGTAATATTTAGATCAATATGACAATCCGACTGTTTCTGATAGTACTTATAAACTACGATTACTATAACTATGATATATTCTTACCTATTCACAACTATTTAACTAACACAAAAGTAAATCGTCAACGTATTATAAACTTTGATTGTACTGCACATCTATCTAATAGAAAATTTCACGGCCATCTTTAACTGACTTTTTACGTTACGTACGCATGCGTCAAAGTCAATCTTGCGCAAACTTCACAAGGGTATTTAAATTTATGATAAGTTTAAAAAATTATTTTTTGTAGAGTTAAATAATTTAAATTGAATAAAAAGTATTTTTTTATATTTAGGTAGAAAGTATTTTTTCAATATATTCTAAAACAAAACTGAAAATTTTTTTTATAACATAGTTGTAGTAATGTTTATGTTAATTGATAAAATCCAAAATCTTTCTGGAACTTCTGTTGCTAGGAAACCACAATTGGTACATAAATAAAAAGATACAAAAGAGTAGTTCATTTATTTGATGCAAGCATGTTAATTTAAAACAAAATATCTTATGGCAGAAGTTCATATTATAGGACAGATATGTCAGGCAAAAGATTTTCCAAAACAAAGTTTATTCTGTAAATGGCACATACATATTGGTAAGTAAAATAACTATAACACTTTTCACTAATAAATAATATTAGTCCTTTCCTAATTTTCCATATGCAATGTCTACTAAACACATATTTTATTGGTAATCTTAACCAGTTTCAAAGAAATCAAGAAACAATTTAAAACGCCAGTTTGCAATTTTTAGTAAAAATGTGCGAAGATATGACATTTAGAGAAAGTAATTTTTTATAATTAGTAAAATAGCTGTTTTATGTTCCAATAAGAATATTATATTCTGTTACGCCATTATGCAGAAAATTTAGAAGATTGATGTTTTATTAGTGACGATTAGTAACTGGACATTCTTAAGAGAATAGGTATAGCACAATTAAAAAAGAAGAAGATCAGAATTTGACGTTTTGTTGATTTAAAAAAGATAATGATGTAGGCGGCAAAAGCACAGAATAATAAGCAATCAGAAGGGCCACTCTCAGATGCCGCCTTTGAAGTTTTTCAGCACGCGCGCCATGTTTTAGGAGGACACAGACATATGATTTGTGTGGTTATGTAATTGTTTATATTTATGTTATATTTTACAATGTTAATATAATTGTATAGTATGTCTATGATTGCCGTAAGTCAAATAAACCTGGTTAATTTTTCCATACACACCACATAAACAACACTAATTTCTTTAAAATCCTCCTAAAACATGGCGGAACGTCTGCGCGGAGGAGATGCGCGTACTTAATTTTCCGTGGAGAGTGGATATTCTGTTTGTTTATTATTCTGTGGCAAAAGTAAGAGGAATATTTTACAATAAAATTAATACAAATTTTAATTTGGTAGATATAATTTTGTGTTTTCTCCTTATTTCCGTTAAAGACGATTAAGTCTATAAAACAGTATAGTTGTCCATATGTTTCATGAGTAAATTTCTTCCAATAAAGTCTGAAATGTTGTGGAGTATGGCATAAACATTCATCACATATTTATGGATTACAAAATAGCCTACGACTCTGTAAACAGAAAAGAAATTTTGTTTAAAAATATTTTATAAAGGGTATATAATTAAAATACCCTATCGGGCTACATCGCCAAACGTTTTCGGACTAAAGAGTCCATCATCAGTGTAAAATTACCAAGTATACATGAGTCAAGCCACTGAATATCTGGGTATAAACCATTAAAAGGTTACACTTTGTTTTGGAGTGAAGAAATGAAGAAGAGAAGAAATGTTCAAAGCAATGAAAGAGTAGGAGTAACAAATCAGTTGGTCAATTTAACAAAACTAACTCTTACAAAAGTTGAATGTAGAGTACGAATTCAGGGGGAAGTATCTGAATCTGTTAAAACAAATAACGGCCTGCACCAGAAGACCCTCTCTCCCATATACTTTTCAATCTGGATATGGAAAAAGTAATACGTAGGTCACAAATCCCAACCACCTGACCGCAATGTACCGGGTGGTGAATCGCCAAACGAGCCATAGGAAATTCAATTCAATTCAACCTACTAGTGAAGTGTTGTTTGCAAAGCAATAAAATTGATGAAATGTGTTCAGTTCATATGAACGGCATTTAATCCTTTTCAAAATTTTTAAGTCCGTAGAATTATGGATATTAAACTGGTCTGCAATGGTCCGAGAACTTATTCTAGGATTTTCTACAACTGCTTTTAATACATTTATTTCATTTTGTTTTTCTAATTTTTTTGGTACCTCAGTAATATTGTTTGTACAGGTACAATTAGAAATCACGGTCCCATTATTTTCAAAATTTTGTAAAATCCTTTGAATTGTTGAATGACTTTGAATTGGTCTATTGGAATATCTTACGCTAAATAAAGAACTGACAATTCGCGCACTATTGCCTGAATAAAACATTTTTATTATTGCTAGTTTCTCCTCAACTGAATACATTTTTTAATCAACTATAATGTTTTTTAAACAATAAATCACAATATTAAAATTTTGGAAATTCAAATATTGTCAAATATCAGAAATATAAATATGACCAAACGCAATATGTCATACACATGCTTGTACCTCGTGTGGCCTGAATTTAAGGGGTGGCCTGAAAAATGTATTATATTTTTACAAAATTTTGGAATACATTTAAGTCGTAGAACTATTTTAACATTTGTTTTTAATGCATATTTCAGTCCTCTACAAATAGTTTCTTATGACTTTGGATGTAAAATAATTAGGGAAGCAGGAATTCAACAATTCAGAATTTCCCATTGAATTTCCTATGGCCCGTTTGACGATTCACCGCCCTCTATAACAAATCAGTACAACTCCTTACTTATGCTAATGATATCAATATTGTTGATAGAATGGAAAATGCTGTACGAGATGCGTATCTAAAACTAAAAGAACCTTTTTCAAAAATAGGATTAATAATAAACACCAACAAGTGAAGTACATGAAAATACGCACGCAACCACAAATCCTACAGCCACTTGTTATTAAAGGACGTCATCGAAGGAGTAACGAATTTGTATACCTAGGAGCTCTCGTTAACACTGAAAATAATACTATCACAGAGATAAACCGCAAAATTTCCACGACCAACAGTTGCTATTTTGGGCTCAATCTCCATCTTAAACCCTCAATTATATCGAGAAATCCAAAAGTAAAACTCTACAAAACAATAATACGCCCAATGTACTTCAACTCAGATTTATGTATGTAAAACTCTATCTATGTTATGTCTATGTATATGTTTAATCTATGTCTAAAAAAATGTAAAACAAAATTGTAATACCAAGCTGCGCTAATAACCACTTAGGTTGATGTGGCTTATTTGTAAATAAAAAAAATAATAATAATAATACGCCTAGTCCTAACATATGGTTTTGAGTGACCTGGGCTCTAACAAAAAGTAATGGAGAAAAAAGTAATGCAAAAAATAATTAAAAGGAGAAGACGATTCAATATTCCGATATGATTCCTTGATAAAATCGATGACGACATGAGAAATATGGGAATACGTGCTTGGCGGAAGAACGCAATCGATTAGGGCGACTGGAGAAAAACTCTTGGGCTTGGACCCACGCAGGGATGTAAAATAAGAAACATGATGATAATACCACCCACCACTTTCATTCTAGAATCTAGAAGAAAAATGTTAAATATGGCGTTTTTTAAATATTTCTGGACTGTAGGTACATTGATTTTTGAAAATAGCCATATAGGTGCAGATTCAGAAAGGATGGTTATAAGACGCAGATAATGTTAGAGAAAGCTCTACAAGAAAACTCACAGAAAAATAAAGATTATATAGTTATTAAAAATTGGAACGTAGTTTTTTTGGTTTCAACGTCCGAGCAATATAACATAAGGTCTTGTAAAATAGGGAAAGGTAGTAATAAAGTTAAGGTTTAGATTACGAATTGTATCGACACTTACTATTCTGTTTCTCTCTAGGTAATAATTGGAAACTTATTGCTGGTAAAAAAGAAGGTCAAACTCAAGTAAGTTGGTCGCAGTTTGATAATATTTGTAGATGGGATTTTCCTATTGATGTCCATTTAGTTACTACAGGGATAAAGGGTAAGACATCTTTCTAATAAATAAACAGACATTAGGAGTTTCTTGAAGGAATCCAGTGCTTTCAAAAGAATAATTTTGAATAAATTTTAAAATTATAGTTGTTATAATAATTATATATTCTATAGTTGCCTTATATACAACGGTGACGTTTTCCGACAGGCGAATCATTCAAATCAATAATGCAAATCGTTTCGAACAGTGGTTTCAATATGTTCTGCAACGTGTTGGAGATAACTACGTCATCCTGATGGACAATTCATCATACCATAGACCAGGAGTGAACAAATTCCCAGTTCAAACAGCCGAAAGGCTGAAATGCAAAAATGGCTCCTGGAAAATAAATATTCCATACTATGAGAATGCAGTAACGGTAAAGTTGATGTGTTTAATCAGACAACATCGTCCTAATCATATCGATTATGTAGTGGATGGAATGGCCCGTGCTCGTGGTGTTACTGTTTTAAGACTTCCACCATCGAAGTCGACTTTCATCGACCATCGACTTTCCACTTCCATCACCGAATTTAACTCGATGGGCACAAAGAAAGGGTTTTGTGGCACGTCATAATGTTACTTTTAAAATTGAAGATGTGAACCGTATGCTAAATATTGCTATTGATGAGGTTACGCCATTAGTATGGCAGAATGCCATTTCCCATATACGGAAGGCCGAAAAACGAATGTGGGATTTAGATGTTGATGTTGATACTATAATCGAACCCGTGGTGATTACGTTAACAGGCGACAACAGCAGTGGTAGTGGGAGTAATTATCTTCTTCTTGATGTGTCTATCCGTTACGAATGTTGGCGATCATCATGGCAATCTTTATCTTATCTGCAGCAGCGCGGAAAAGCTGCACATATGTTGTATTGAACCAGATTCTGAGGTTCTTTAACCAAGAGGTTCTTCTTCTTCCTGGACCTCGCTTTCCAAATATTTTTCCTTGCAGGATGGCTTGAAGGAGAGCATATCTGGATTCATTTCGCATAATATGTCCGAAGAATTGTAACTTTCGAGACTTAATGGTGGTCAGTTTCTCTCGGTTCTTATTCATTCTTCTAAGGACCTCCTCATTTGTGACTCGATCAGTCCACGGGATTTTAAGTATTCTCCGATATAGCCACATCTCAAATGCTTTCAGTTTTCTGCACATATCTTCGTTCAAGGTCCACGATTCAACACCATATAAAAGGACACAGAAGACGTAGCATCGCAGTATTCTTACTTTTGTATCAAGAGAGAGGTTGTGTCTCTTGAAGAAGGCCCCCATCCGATTGTAAGTGGATTTCTGTTATCCTTTTCTTGCTAATTATCATAAGCTTTGTCTTCTTAATGTTTATATTGGGTCCATATTGTTGACTGTAATACGTGATTTTGTTCATAAGAACTTGTAGGTCTTCTAAGTTGTCCGCAAATACTATGGTGTCATCTGCATATCTGATGCTGTTAAGCTGGTAACCATTTAGTAGAATACCTTTTTCGGTTTCGTGCAAAGCTTCGATAGAGTAATGATAATCTCCCTTAAATAGACATATTAACTGTGAAAATTATTAAATGTAATTACTGATAGAAGTAAAAAATATTATAATATATTATCAGTTCTGATGAATCTAATTGCAAGCAAATATTCTACAATTAGCGAATAGAGTCTACAATAACAAGATCTATTATCTTTACTGTAAGTCTGTCTTGGTGATTCCCAGATGCTTTTGTGTAAATGTTTTCGAGTTAAGTTAAAATTATGCAATCGATTAAAAAAAAAAACTATGAAAAAATAAAACTTTTTTGAAATCACAGCATCAAAAATATTTAAAATTCGTTATTTCTCAAGCACCAATTTTTTTCATTTTGTTGCGCTATTAATATTCCTATTTCATACCATGCAAGTTAATCGTTTACAGCGTAAACTGTATTCCAATTCTTCATTTGCCAAAATTTTCAGTTTTATATTAATAATAATAATAATAATAATAAAGGCCTTTATTCATTGTCGCTTATTGACGCTTGTAAAATGAAAGTATTATGCTGTTTCTTTATTTTGTTGTTTAAACACATTTTGGCAAATAGATATCAATACATTGATTAATTCCGCTATTAAATAAGCTAACTCGTTTGTTTTATTTTATCGAAAGGCCTGTGCGATGATAATGGAAATCTACAACTAGAACCCGACAAAATAGTTAGAATCTGGGAAACTTATGTGGAACAACTATTTAATGATGACCATCCTAGTTTGTATACACTGAGCAATGATGATACTGGTCCTTCTATTCTAAAATCAGAAGTGGAGAATGCTATAAAGGGTCTTAAAAATAACAAAAGACCAGGCAACGATAACGTGTACGGGGAAGTATTGAAAATGCTGTGCGAAACAAACGGTCAATTTCTAGACTCACTCGTCAGACTCTTTAACAATATTTATAACAGCAGATTGTTTTCTGAAGATTGGCTAGAGTCAACTTTTGTTGCCATACCGAAAAAACCAAAAGCAAAGTCTTGTGATCAACATCGGATGGTATGTTTAATTAACCACATTTCGAAGGCACACACCAAGGTTATTTACAACAGAATAAGCAAAAAATGCGAGGATAACATTGGAGATTCGCAGTTTGGGTTTCGAAATTCTCTTGGGACAAGAGAAGCACTTTTTAGTCTACAGTTATTCATCCAGCGCTGCAGAGATATGAACAAAGACGTGTACATATGCTTTATAGACTACGCAAAAGCATTCTATAACGTAAAGCACGAAAAGATAATTGAAGTTCTCCATAAGATCGGAGTCGACTACAGAGACATTCGAAGAATAGCGATTCTCTATTGGGGTAAAACAGCTAAAGTGAAGGTAGGATCTACATTGACCAATAATATTGAGATCAAGAAAGGGGTACGACAGGGCTGTATCTTGTCTCCTATTCTCTTTAATATATACTCAGAAGAAGTATTTAAGACAGCGCTGGAGGAAAGCACAGAAGGGATAAAGATAAATGGAGAAATAATTAATAACATAAGGTATGATGATGAGACTGTGATTCTAGCAAGTAGCATGGAGGAACTGAGTTGCCTAATGAATATGATACAAAAAACAAGTGCACAATACGGACTCAGACTAAATATCACAAAAACCAAATGGATGTTAGTAAGCAAAACCCAAGAACCACCACAGCAACTGATATTAGACAATGAAAGAATTGAACACGTGGATTCGTACATCTACTTGAGAACAACAGTTAACTCAAATTGGGATCAAGCGAAGGAAATACGTATAAGAGTAGAAAAGGCAAGAGCATCGTTCACTAGCATGAAGCTAATTTTCACCTCTAAAAGCCTCACCCTACCTCTCAAAAGTCGACTTCTGAAATGTTATGTTCCCGGTTTTGTTATATGGAATGGAGGCGTGGACAATGACCGCAACATTGATGAAAAAAGTAGAGGCCTTCGAAATGTGGGCTTACCGACGTATATTACGTATATCATGGACTGAGCACGTGACCAACGAAATAGGTAAAGAGAGAGAGGTAGGAATAAGTATAAAGAAAAGAAAGTTGGAATACTTGGATCACGTTATGAGACATAATAAATATAGAGTACTACAGCTGATCGTTCAAGGGAAAATAGACAGCAGAAGGGGTCCAGGGAGGAGAAGACACTCGTGGCTCCAAAACTTGCGGCAATGGTTCGGATTGTCATCTGCTGAACTATTCAGATCTGCCGTAAACAAAGTCAGAATAGCCATGTTGATTGCCAACGTTCGGAACGGACAAGGCACATGAAGAAGAAGAAGAACTGGTTTGCGTTTCGTTCTGTTTACTGCCGTCAACACAATACATATATAACTTTTTGTCGATGAATATCTTCTTCCAAATAAACACGTTTTGACATGTTTTTAGAAGACATTATGTACATACAGACCAAAACAAGCATCTGCGGTTGCTAGTACTGTTTCTATTGATTGATGACTTATTCTAAATAATTAAATATCCGTCTGAAATAAAAAGAATTTATTAATATGAGTATCTTACATCTTTAGGTATACAATAGTCAACTTCCACTCATCCGCTCAGTCGAAACATTATTAATGTGAATGAGAACTTATTTTATAAACTAGATCTAATGTATTATTTTTATCATTATAAGCAGAAATATAATATTTTAGTGTTACAATGGTAAGTGACCGCAAGAAAACACATTTTCTTACGCGCCGCCAATGACCAAATTCAAAATTTCCTAGAATTCATAATGAGCACGCGATTTCGGCTACATTGGACCACTTATGGCGCATGATTTTTGATTTAGAGTTTCATTTAATATTTGCCAGATTTACACAGTTATGACACAAAAAATCGTATTTTTTTACTAACTTTTTTTATCGACTGAATTTTAATTATTATAAATTGCAGATTCATAGTCAAAATTTTCTTATCAGTTATCAATGTTATTACTACATATACCTAATATTTTTATAGATACATAAATTTTGTTTTGATATATTTTTATTTTGTTTTTTTTATTCTTTTGTTTTCTAGTTTTTTTTTTGTTTTTGTTTTCTCTTTTTTTTGTTTTTTTTTTGTTTAATTTTTTTGTTTTGGTTTTTTTTTTGTTTTTTGTATTGTTTTTTTTCTTTTTTTTTTGTTATTTTTTTGTATTTATCTTTTGTTTTTGTTCTATTTCTATTTTCTTAATTCTTTTTTTTTTATTAATTTGTGGTAACGTTTTTTTTGTTTTTTTTTTGTTTTTTTTTGTTTTTATTTTTTCAAACCATATTAACAGATTATGACTATATACTATTTACAACTTGTATTTACATATTTTAACATGTTTGTAAATGCAATGAAGAATTTCCATATTATTTGAAAATAATAAAATATTAAGGTTTATTGGAAAACAACACTTAGAATTTATTAGTTCCTTATAAAGTTCGTTTATATTATTCATTTGTAAATCACATTCTAATATAATATGTGTTAGATCACCTATTTTGCCGCAAGTACAATTGGGAGTATTTGATAAGCCGATTCCATTCATGTAAGATGGCGTAAGAGCATGATTTGCTCTCAGCCGATTAATGGTCTTTATAAAATGTCGATTAGATTCTGTGTAAAACCATCTTCTTGAGGGTATCCTAGTGTTACAATGATAAAAGTTTAAGCCCGTCTTACATTCTCTGTAATGTAAATGCCAATTATTTTTAAGTTTTTGTCTACTAACGGTGTCAATATCTGTCGCTGGAATTAAATTTTTGTTTACTTTTTCTCCAAGCATATATGCTGATTGTATATATAACTTGATTGGTCTAATAATCTATTAGAAAATACCTACATACTTAGATTATTGAAACTGTCGTTACATTAATCTAAGCCTACATATTATTAAATGTAATAATTGTGTTTAGTATTCATCTTTGTTCGGTTTCAGGTTGGCCCAAAATTTACATTGAAGTATACCATTTTGATTGGCTAGGACGAGCTCATATTTTTGGATACGGAACTGTAACTGTACCAACCAGCCCCGGATCTTATACTCTCGATTGTTACACTTGGAGACCGTTTGGTAATTTGAGACAACGTTTTGTCCAATATTTTATGGGTACGTAGAATATATTTCCATAAAAACATAAAAATGGGTCAATCTTAACGTTTCACCACATTTTCAGATAGCGTCGTTAGGAGCAAAGTAGGCTACTACTCACGGTAACTATGATACTTTATATGCCCAGAGGCAAAAACCAACACACAATACTCAACGTTTCCTAAAATAAAATGTAAATCGGTTGAAAGTAAAAATCACTCTGTAATGGCGCATATACGGGTACCTATAATTGCTCGTTCGGGTCGTTGACTATAGTGTTCTTTCAGTAGTCATCATCATTAAATCTTTACTTGTCCACTGCTGGACAGATCTCACTCATAATTTTCTGTTTCGATCATATGCATCTTGCATTAAATTCCTATGGCAAGATTTTAGATCGTCAGTCCAACGTGTTGGTGGACGACCTCTGCTTCGGTAGGCATTATCTTGTTCTCCATTTCAGTATCCGCTTTGTCCATCTGTTATCTGTCATTCGCGCCACGTGACCTGCTCAGTTCCACTTTAGTGTTACTATTTTCTCTACAGCATCAGCCACTCCTGATCTTCGTCACAGCTGACGGTTTGGGATATTGTCTCGCAGTGAAACACTCAACATAGCACTCCATCGCCCTTTGAGCTACACGGATCTTTTTCACTGTTCTCCTTGTCCTCCGTTCGGCTCGCGGAGATAAGAATACGGCCGAGGCCAATATATTCCTGCCTGTCGTAAGAGGCGACTTATGGGAAGGAATCGAGAGGTGGAGAGCCGTCGCTTGAGGTGTCGGGTTTGTAGAAACGCACTCGGGGCGCTTCGGCGTCACGGTCACCGGTCTACACTCCTAGTATCCGAGACGAGACTCTCGTGGGATCACTCTACTCTCATTCCACAGAACCAGGTGAGGTTGAACGAGCTGAGCCCGTAAGCACCTCTTTTGGGCGCACCACCATTAGGGCCGCCGGTGTCTCAGCACGTACCCACCTTGAAGATGTAAGAGTGGCAGAGGAGAGCTCCTCGGCGGCTACCTGTCTACGTGCTAGGTAGAGTTCCTCTACCTGCGCTCACCTTTCCGCCTCGGGGTGGGGGGATAACGGACGGGTGTTCGTAAGGCAACACAGGTACTACGAGGAAGGGTGGAGGATCCACGATGTTTCGTGCAACGCGCCACCCTCATAATGGTCTCGGACGCGTAGGGGTATGTGGTTTCGGCAAAGGTCGTATGCCGAAAAATCAGGAAGACCAGGGTCCTACCAGTATTTTATTATTGGAGGGAACACGAACTTGTTCAATGTCCTACTTGTCATAGTCATCGATTCCGCTCCATAAGTCCCTTTAGTAGTAGGAGGTTGTTAGTACCAAGCATCAGGTCTGTTGGCGTATTCTAGTACAACGTCGATGTTTTTGTCAGAGAGATTAGTTTTAATCGGCCAGTGGCAGGAAAAGTGGGAGGGTTATGTGGCTTTTCAGGTTCAGGAAGGCACATTCCCACCAGTGCCTTTACTGTATTCTTTCGGACACTGTGACATACACGATGTTGAAGTGCGAGCGTTAGACGGATAAAAGAGAGTGTAACTATAGAATGTTTGATTTCGTGAGAGAAATGATGCAAGAAGTGATGAGAGATGTGTGGCGGTGGACACGAATGTACACAATTATCAAGGAATTGCTCTCTTAAAAAAAAACGAATGAAAAGGGAACTTGCAACTGAATTCGAAAACGAGCGAGTAGCACCTTGATGGGATTCGGTCTTTGGCAGGCCGAAATAAGAAAGCAACAGAAAGAGAGAGAGAGAGAGAGAGAGAGAGAGAGAGAGAGACACGGCAGCCTCGCTGAAGCAGGGGTTAAAAGTCGTTGGTGGTTCGTGTAGGTGTAATTTTCTAGATGAATGAGAAGGAGAAAGGATGATAGCAGGGAATTAGAAGAGATATTTTGCCTTAATCGGCCGTTTCATCCTGATGTCTGAAGCAACAAAGGTAAAGTCTTTAGTTGGACGCCGACCATCTAGGAGTGGTAACGAGACGAAGTGTCAATGGTCTCAGCTCCTTGGACATCTCGTGTTGGCACACTTTGTTATCATAGGTGTCTGTATGCAGATTTTCCTTCTTGTCTTTAAAGATGTAAAAAAAGTAGATAGTGTAAAATTGGACTCCAGATAGGAACATTCCTCTCTTATTATATTCTTGGGATTCTTTCGGATTTCTATGGCCGCAGGAAGTTTTCTGGAATAGAAGTAACGATAATTGACTAGATATAATGTATCTTAGATGCTTTTGGATGTATATTTTGATGTAGCGATTAGTATACAAGCAGTATATAGAGGAATAATATTGGAAATACAACGCAAAGTAAATACTGCGTAGCAGTAATATGCGCCAATGTAACGTAGTGCCGGTCCTGCCCAGTGGCGCACCTAGAAATTTTCTGCGGCGGGGTTTTGGTTGGGCACCGAATTTGTTTTGTGATGTTGAATCTCTATAATCCTTAAAATGTGTGAGTTGTAGTGTCAGAATAGTACCCTGCGAGGGGGGGGGGAGTTTAGCTCCCAAAACCCCCAACTTCGCACTTTGTGAGGTCAGTATGCATTTTGTTGTCTAGTGTTCAGCGTTCGTCGCTTATAATGTTGTGATCTAAAACTTACATATCGCGGTACACTAGCTTTTACTTCTTTACGTGCCACATCAGAATTATCCGACGGCCTTCTATTTTGACTTTTGGATCAGTTGTAATATTCTATATCGATAACCCCTCACTTTATGTGTTTAACAGTGTTTAGTAATTCTCTATCTTTGTTAACCCTCCTTAGTACCTCCGCATTAGTTTTTTTGCTATCCAAGATATCTTCAGCATCCGTCTATAAATCCACATTTCCAATGCTTAAATTCTGTTCATACTTAATCCTTTTAGTGTCGACACTTCTTCTCCATACAAAAGTACAGTCCAAATATAGCACTTAACCATTATTTGTCTAGGTTCTAAACTGAGATGATTATTGCAAAAAATACCTTAATTTTCATAAAAGTAATTTTAGTAATTGCTATTCTTTATTTTATTTCTATGTCTCGATCTAGTTGGTCCGTTATGACAGTTACCAACTATGTAATTTTATGAACTTTTTTAACTTGGACTCCATTGAGTTGACACTCTGTCTGCATCTGGATGTGGGTTACGACTAAAGACTAAAAATTTGGTTTTGTTTGAGTTTATTTTAATGACCATTTTCTCTCCTACTTCGTGAATACGATCAAGTAGAACTTGGAGAGCTTCAATATTTTCTGAAAGAATTACTGTATCATCTGCGTATCTAATTAGGAGTTCCCTCTTGATTTTGATTCCGTTTGACAGTCGCTCAAGTACCTTTTTAAATATTGGATCCGAGTAAATATTGAACAATGTTTGAGACAAAATGAAATCTTGTCTGACTCCTCGTTGTAAGGAGATTTCATTTGTGAAGTTGTCTTAAATTTTTAAGATAGAAGTTTGATTACAGTACATATTTTTAATGACACGAATATATTTGCCATATATTTCTATATTTTTAGCACCTGCAACAATTTTACATGCTGTACTTTATCGAATGCCTTTGGGAAGTCCAAAAAATATGCAAATACATATTTTCTTTGATCACGGCATTTTTATAATATGATATTTAACGCAAAAAGTGCTTCCCTAGTTCCCATAGCATTTCTAAAACTAAATTAGGTTTTTTCGAGATCTTTGTCGCATTTGAGTCTAATTCTGTTGTGAAGTATTTTTAGAAAAATCTCAAGAGTGTGGCTTATTGCACAACAATCTGCAAACCGCAGAATTTTTACGGCCAACAGATGCTATTTTGGGCTCAATCTCCCTTAAATTTCGAATTATATCGAGAAATACAAAAATTAAACTCTACAAAACAATAATACTCCCAGTCTTAACGTACGGTTCAGAGACCTGGACTCTAACAAAACATAATGAAAACATGTTAGGATGTTTGGAAAGAAAAGGACCAACGCGAATCTATGGAGCAGTGAATGACAATGGAGTGTGGAGAAGACAATACAACTTCGAACTTTATAGAATATACGAGAAACCTGATCTCGTAAAACATATTAAGATAGGACGTCTAAGGTGAATAAGACATGTAATGCAGATGGAACAAAATGACCAAGCTAGAAAAACGCTCCTTGATGGGCCCATTGGTCAGAGAAGAGGAAGACCCGGAACGAGGTTCCTTGATAACATCGATGAAGACATGAGAAATATGGGAATACGTGCTTGATGGAGAAAGGAGATGGGTAAGGACGACTTAAGAGAAATTCTTGGGGAGGCTAGGACCCACGCAGGGTTGTAAAGCCAGAATGATGATAATGATAGTAAAACGTAGACGATACCGTTATAACAGTTTCTTTTGAGGAAAAATTTCCTGGATAGTCAAAACAGCATTTGTTAATAAACGAAATTAGTTTTAATCTCTGTTAATAAACAAAATTTTATTTCAGGTGGTGGATTACAGTTACGAAACTTTGAACAACTTTTATCGCCTGGGGAAAGATACCAACTATCTACCGAAGCAATGGGTGTGGTTACATTTGATCTGTCTTTAGTTTTTAGAAATTTTAGTAACTATGGAGTTGAATACTAAAATGAAAATTCTTATTTTCATTGGATTATTGGCAACTGTTGCCATAGCCAAAGATAAAGCCACAACTGCAGCTTCAACTACAGAAAAGCATACTACTTCTACTATAGCTGAAGAAAATTTTACCGTAGCCAATTCTATATGCGAGGACAATTCCACGTATTGTGATAATTCAACTGAAGTTCCATTTTCGAATTTTACTATTACATCTTTAAAAAATGAGACTGTTAGGAAAGAAATTGTTCCTGTAGGAGTATCTGTACAGGAGGATTTTTGTACGTGCGATTTGCAAGTAAGTTATCGTAGCAGCAAGTAGATACCTATGTATGAATATGAACTTAAAATTAACTTGAATTTTCATATAAATAGTTCATTTAAATGTTTTGCTTCTCTTACTGATTGCATCTACCGCTATTTTCTTCTGTTGACCGTGAGATTTGCTCTGCTCAATGGAGTTATCTGCAGGTCATTTGTGATGGAAATCTCTTTGTGGTTTGAATTTATCTGATATCTAAATAGCAGATGGCATGGTCCCCAATGACTGGATCAACGTACGAATTATGTGTGTTTCTTTTTCATCTACTCTTTCTTCTTTCCTTTTAATAAATTTCACCATTAAGTGCCGTTCTTTAGATAAAAGCCAGCAACTTTCGTATCAGGAGATATACAAAAGATCTAGGTTCCAATATTACTTTCTGAGGATCATTTTACTCAGGACCATTTTACCTATGTAGGGTCATACGTCGCCATGTTACCAATTCCAACGGTAACTTAAACATCATAATCTGTAACCATATATAATGTAAAACAACTGTAAATTTATAACATTTAAAGGGTTTTGACCCATATATTTTGCTGGCTCATAGCATGTATACCTCGTTTACACTGATGATGGATTTAACAATCCGAAAACGTTTTGTAATGTAATTGTGATAGCCCGTTTGGGCATTTTATTATATACCTTTTATAAAGGATTTGAAATAAATTTTTTGTGATATATGGTATACAGCCAGCTACAGGATCTTAGTTTCCTAGTGGACTCTTACGAATATTGTTCAATTTTCCATAAACCGATAATTATTTATTATGAATTTAATCTGTGCGTTTTATTTATTTTCATATTACATATCATGTTGATGTTTTATACGCAAAATTCATTATATTCTATTATACATATTTGTACATGTTTTCATAATTTTTTTCTAATTTCATAAGTCTACCTCAAAACTATTCAAACTTTGTATAAATATTTCAAGTACAAAACATGTAAAAATTAGTATTTTCCAAGCTGGTAATATATTTGTGCGCATATTCTTCATAAGAATAGTAGTACTTTATCTAAGCTGTACTGTACTCAAGTCTGAATTTTACTATAGAATTCATGCATGATAGATGAGTTCTTGGCCGTAATTATCCAAATAGTAGCCTCACTAACCACAACTACTACACTGCTGTATTGTATATGTTTAAAAAATAATGTAGTTTTTTTTTGTTAGGAAAACTTTTGTGACATAAACTGTTGCTGTGACAAAGACTGCTCTTTAGAGAATAAGGAAGTTTTCCAATATTGTTTGTCGGAACCTAGATTTTACGATAGAAGATACTGCGACTATATGAAATATATTTATATAAATAACACACCTGTCAAATGGCATATTAACCAAAACGGACTATTTTGTATTATCAAGAGTAACCATCCCCCATATTATATAATTCAACGTAAACACGTAAGTATTTATTAAACGAGCCCTAACAACTATATAATGGGACAAGTTGACAGTTTATTTTTTTCTAATTATGTTTTATAATATATTACTACATAATGAGCTAATATCTATAATAATAATATTCAGCAACACAAACCAAAATATATTTATTCTAACAGAACTAATTTATTTAACAGAACTAATTAATGTGTTTAATTTGTTGATAACTGAATATTGGGACATATTCTCTTCTTCAGATGCAAATCCACTAATGAATGTTAGCGATCACATTTTCCATTAACTCTCTATTTCTTGCAATATGTATCAGAGATTGTATGTCGTTAATCCCTGTCCATTGCCTTATGTTTCGGAGCCAGGACATTTTCTTGCGTCCCATTCCTCTCTTGCCTTCAATTTTACCCTCGATTATAAGTTGGAGGAACTGGTATTTTTCATTTCGCATGATGTGACCTAGATACGCCGTTTTCCTTTTCTTGATGGTTTCGAAAAGTTGGCGTTCTTGGTTTATTCTTTTAAGGACATCTATATTTGTGATTTTCGCTGTCCATGGTATTTTTAGGATACGGCGATAAAGCCACATTTCGAAAGCTTCCAATCTGTTTATATCCCTCGTTTTGAGTGTCCAGCCCTCTACGCCATATAGCAGCACTGACCATACGTAGCACTTAGTAAACCTTAGTCTCAGTTGAAGATCGAACTCAGAACAAGTCAGTACCTTCTTGAATTTTACGAAAGCTTGTCGAGCTTGCTCAATGCGACATTTTACTTCCCTGTCCGATGCCCAGTCTTCAAATAGCCACGATCCCAGGTATTTAAATTTACTCACTCTTTCTATGGATTTACTATTCAGTGTTATGGTGGAGTTTTCAAATGCATCCAAGTTTCTGGAGATGATCATGAATTTGGTCTTTTTGGTATTAATCTCTAGTCCCATTCGCTCACTGTATTCTCCGATTATAGTGACAAGTTGTTGAAGATCGACTATGTTGTCACAAATTAAGACACCATCATCAGCATATCGTATGTTGTTGATCAATACGCCATTCACCTTGATTCCCATCTCTGCATCTTCCAAAGACTCTTGAAATATGGCTTCTGAATAAATGTTAAATAAAAGAGGGGAAAGCACACATCCCTGTCGAACGCCTCTTCTTATATGTATGGGCTTAGATATAGAATTGTCTATTTTTAGCTGTGCCGTTTGATGCCAGTACAAGTTTTCGATGCATCTTATGTCTTTTTGGTCTACATCAACTTTCTTGAGAATCTGCATTAACTTGTGGTGTTGGACACGATCAAACGCTTTTTTGTAATCTAAAAAGCATAGGAACACATCCTTCCTCTGATCGTAACAATTTTGGACCAGTACCTGTGTTGCTACTATTGCTTCTCGTGTTCCTAAACCTTGCCTAAACCCGAACTGGGAATCACTGATGTCCCATTCACATTTTTTGTATAATCTTTGATGTAGTATTTTTAAGAATATCTTTAAAGTGTGACTCATCAGGCTAATGAGTCTGTGATCCTCACATCTTTTTGCATTGACTTTCTTGGGCAGGGGAATAAAGGTAGAGCGTAACCACTGTTGAGGATAGCAGCCAGTTTCATAAATTAAATTAAATATTTTGTGTAGTGCTGAAATTCCCCTTTCATCTAGTAATTTGAGTATTTCTGTCGGGATCTCATCTGGTCCAGGTGCCTTATTGTTTTTTGAATTTAATATTGCTTTTTCTATCTCCTCTTTGGTGATTGAAGGGCCAGTCAGCTGGTCGTCTGTATAAACTTCACTCATGGGTCTTTCGTCATGGAAGAGCTCCTGGATATAATTTTCCCATATATCAATTTTCTCCTTTTCACCCAGCACTATCTGGTTATCCTGATTAACTATGGTAGTTGGTCTTCGTTTTCTGTATATTCCAGCAGTTTCCTTAAGCTTTTTATGTAAATTACGGTCGTCGTGTTGTCTTTGTAAATGTTCTAGATCGATACATTGTTGCTTAAGCCATTCATTTTTTGCTATTCTTATTTTTGCTTTTATTTGCCTGTTAATGTTTTCATACATATTGCTGCCATCTTGGTTATTCTTGTATCTTCGTCGTTCTTCCATTAGTAATAGTATTTCTTCTGTCATCCATTTTTGCTTCTTGTTATTTCGTTTGTACCCTAAGTTGTTTTTCATGATGTCTGTTACAGCACTTGTAATCGTATTCCATGTTGGTGTTATATCTTCGGTAATGTTTGTCGTTAATATTTGAATTTGTGCGTTTATTTCATTGCTTGTTTTTGCTTGTATCACTGGGTCTTTCAGTTTATCCAGTGCTATCTGTTGTTGAGTTTCAGGCTTGTTCTTGCATGAAAGAGCGATCTTTATGACGGCCACTAATAGTACGTGGTCAGAAGGGACATCTGCTCCAGGGTATGTGCAAGCTCTTTTGACAGTTGTGCTGAATCTACCGTTTATAAGGATGAAGTCTATCTGGTTTCTTATTATGTTATGAGCTCTATCGGCTGGAGATTTCCAAGTATATAGGCGACGGGGGTGGAGTTGGAACCATGTGTTGGTAACTCTCATGTTTTCTTCTTGACAAAATTGTATAAGTCGGTCGCCCCTTTCGTTCCTTGTTCCAAGACCATAGGGTCCAACTATGTCTTCAAAGCTGCCCTTCCCTATTTTGGAATTAAAATCTCCCATAATTATGTTGACATCATGTTTCTTTGTCAATTTAAGTAGTTCTTTGATTTCACTATAAAAGTTTTCCACTACTTCATCTGATGCGTCTGTAGTTGGTGCATAAACCTGTATGATGTTGAGATTATTTGGCTTCGCTTCAAGTTTTACTAAGGCTGTGCGGTCGGAATATGGTACAAACTCTGTGACAGCTCTCACCAATCTTTTAGTTATCATAATCCCGACACCTTTTCTATGATCGCGGTCATCATTGCCTGAGTAAAAGAATGTTCCGCTTTCTGTAGTGCATTTACCGGATCCAGGCCACCAGGTTTCTGAGATCCCAAGAATATCTAGATCTAATCTGCTCATTTCTTGAGTTAGGTTAGCCAGCTTCCCGGCTTCAAATAAGCTGCGTGTATTCCAGGGCCTATCTTTAATGTCTTTCTTAAGTTTGCTCGTACGTTTGAAACATTCAAGACCGCTCCCCCCGGAGATCCGATTGGGGAACTATTTATACCTCCGAATAATTTTGAGTTGAATGTATTCATGTGATTGTCTTGGGAAATATAATGAAGGTGGTATCCCGTTGCCTTCCTTCATGCCGCTTCAGGGCTTAGTTTTCAGCCGCCCACTATGGAACAGACGCCGTTTGCAACCGCCCATTCTGGGTACAGACGTTGCTATTTTCACCATATCTGGTTACCCTCACTTAGTTTAGCCTGCAGACCAATGCAGTTGCCCAGGGTGTGGCACGTGGAGCCATAAGTGAGAGTTGGGTGTCTTATGAGGACCAGTAATCAAGAACCATCTCCCGTCTATGACGCTCGATGTGGTCGTTCCGATAAAAGGTACTACCTCTATAACACAACCCTACACCCCATTGGGACATATAAC